AGATGGCTCAGAGGTTAAGCGCACTGGCTGCTCTTCCAGAGGTCCGGAGTTCAATTCCCAGCAACCGCATGGTGGGTGGCTCACAGCCATCTATAGTAGAACCTGATGCCCTCTTCTAGTGTTCATGCAAACAGCATACTCATATACATGACACAAACAAATCTTCAAAACAAACAAACAAATAAATAAATAAAGTAGGGGTTAGCAAGATGGCTTAGAACGCAGAGGTGCCTGTCACCTCACAAGGACCTGAATGGTGGAAGGAGAGGATCTACACCCCCAAACTGCATTGTATCAGAATGTGCTGTCCTACCCTGCACACATGCAAGAATAAGTAAATGTAAAATAACACCACCACCAACAACAATAATAGACAAAAAGCGAGGCCTGACCAGATGACTCGGTGGGTAAAGGCACTTGCCGCCAAGCCTGACGTCCTGATTCGATCCTGGGACCCACGTGGGAGAAGGAACGTGCAGACCCCTGGCATTCTCCGTGTGTCCAGTTTCTCTCCTAACAGGCTGCCAGCCCCTGGCTCCAAGCCCATCCTCGCCCAGTGTTGACGGCACCTGAACTGAGTCGCTCTGTAGGGACTGTTTCCAGACAGTGCCGTGGCCCCAGGAATCAGGGGGTTGGGACGTCGATGCGTCATGTTAGGGGGTGTATTTCAGATCATCAGCCTTTCGGGGCTCAGCACTCCCTGAGTCTCCCATGTAGAATCCAAAAGCCTGGGCTAGCAAGATGGCTTAGCCACCGCACCCGACAAACTGTGCGATCACTAGAACCCACATGTTGGAAGGAAAGAACATTTCAACACCCCCCCCCAAACAGAGAGAGACTGGTGGGGGGTTAGGTAACCTCAGGTCCTCTGCAGCTGGGAAACTTGGGGTGAGACCTTTTTCTCCCGTGAACCCTAATTTCCTCTCCTCTGCTGCCAGAACCAATAGCATCTGTCCCGGCCCCCAGCGTGGGTCTTGAAGTGGATGCAAGGAAATAATTCAACCTCTCCTGACATGCTAGTGAGTCCAGGGTCACACGACCACCTGCAGGTATTCTTGGGAGGGGATGTGAGTGAAGAACCTTCATCAGTTCCCTGGCCTTTCCATACAGTACAGACCCTGTAAGCCTCAGGATCTCGGGCAGGACAGGGAGGAAATCAGCGTGGCCGCGCCGGAAGCCAGCACTGACCGTGTACCCAGTTCTCCCACATAATAGTGGGCAACGGAGATGACACTCACCCGAGTGAGGGTCGGGGTGGCAAGGTGAAAGGCATTTTGCGACAGCGGGAGAGGTCCTGAAGTGGGAGATGGCCCCGCCATGTTGACCTACTGTGTGAACCTGGTAAAGTCATTAGCTGCTCTAGCCCTCTCCCCCCTTCACCGCTGTAAGAAGTGTGTGGGTTGGGGGATGGGGCCTGGAGTGACGGGTGTGCTAGCAAGAATCAGTCGAGAGGTGAGATCCGTCTCTCAAGGCGCGGTGTTGTGATTTGTAACTGCTGGTTGAGCAGATTGCCTCCCTGAGTCTTTGTGTCCTCTTCTGTAAGCAGGACCGCCGGTGGTGCAGGTGTCTGAGGTAATGCATGTGAAGTGGGGGGACCCTGGCGTGTGAGGCAGGCTCAGCAGGTGTTCCCCTGCAATGGTCACCATGGTGACCATCATCGTCCTCATCCGTCCGCAGTTCCTTTTAGCTCCAACTCCTGTCACCTTCCGAGATGTCCCCGTGCAAGGAGACAGGTAAAATAAGGCTGCCCAGCTTTGAGTAAACACACCTTCTCATAAGGACAGGAAGCCAGTAATCGCCCCTAAATAATCGTTCCAACTCCACCACAAGCTGTCGAAAGGCCCTAATTGGCCAATCGGTAACGACTGCAGCCATCTGCAATTAGGGTGATTTAGCAATGGGGGCTCTGTGCCTGTGAGGACCTCAGCAGTCACAGGGGTGTGTGTGTGTGACATTTTTCCCTCCTTGGGAGCGCTGGTGTGTGGCGCAGAGGATAATCTTGCTCACGACTTAACGACCCACTGGTTGAACGCAGCCCGGAAGCAGCAGTTGGCAGGGACTTGCCGTGGGTTTCCTGTTTTCCTCGGAGAGACTGTTCCCACAGGGGTAGCCTCCCACCAACGCTTGGCCACGCCTCTCGAGGTGAGGGTTTCACTTCACCCAGAGTGCATGCTGGCTGCCCAGCCTGGCTTTTTGTGTGCCCATAATCCCTCCCCTCGCTCCACCTTCGTGATGCCAGGCAACACAGCCTGGTGCACCCTTCATCCTAAAGAGGTGTATTACAAATGGTAAAACTGTACATTTATAAGGAGGTTTATATAAAGTTATCTTTAAAAACAAGTAGAGGTGAGGGAGGGAGGGATGGGGAGGAAATGAGGGAAGGGGCTACAGCAGGGATACAAAGTAAATATAAACCACAATTAATATAAAAAAATAAAAATTAAAGAAAAACAAGTAGAGGGGGCTGTAGAGTGCTTACCACACAAGATTGAGGACCTGAGTTCAAATCCCCAGCACTCATGTAAAAAAAACAAGCGTGGCTGTGTAAGTCTGTAACCCCAGCCTTGGGGTATGGGGGCCGGTGGATCCTTAGCCTCATGCTGTTCAGTAGGCACGTGTGCATGCATTGTGTGTGACGCACAAGTATGCCATAGCACACTGTGAAAGTCAGGACAACTTGTGGGGACCTGTTCTTCCCTTCTACATGGCCCCACAAATGGAACTCAGGCTGTCAGGCTTTGTGGCGATCACCTTCACCCCCTGAGCCATCTCTTCGGCCCTCGTGCCGTCTTTTTAATTACTAAAGCTGTATATTCAGGCAGGGAAGAGATCAAGAAACGTGAGTCTTCCAACCTGCTCTTTCCTGAAAGGCCCCCGCCATTCTGGACTCTTCCTTGCCGTATAAATTTTCAGAGCAGTTTGTTGACTCTGCAAATGAGTCAACAAATGAGACAACAGTTTGTTGTCATCTCTGCAAAAGAGGGCTCTGTGATTCCAGCAGCTCTACACCTGTGTCACCAAGAACCATCACCGTCTTCACCCCGATAGATGTTTGAGCAAGGGGTGTCTTCCCAACTGTCTTGCTCTTTCACCTTTTCCAACCATGTATTTTGTTTTATTTTGTTTTTCAAGACAGGGTGTCTCTGTGAAACTCCAGCTGTCCTGTAACTCATTCTGTAGACCAGGCTGGCCTCCAACTCAGAGATCCGCCTGCCTCTGCCTCCAGAGTGCCAGGGATTAAAGGTGTGCACCACCACGCCTCGCTAATGTTTTGTATTATTTTAGGCTGTGCACTTGTTCTTGTTTTAGTGAATGATATTTTTATCATTTTTAATTGTATTTCCCAGATGATACACACACATCCGGAGAGTCTTCAGTACTGAGCTGTGTCCTGAATCCTTTTAAAATTAGTCCATTTGCTCTGGTTTCTCTGGAAATGTATGGGATTTTCGGTGTGAAGGCTCGCATTATCTTCAGTCACAGATGACACTGTTATCTTTTCAGATGAGTCTTTGCACTGTTAGTTTCTTTCTTTTGTTTTTTTTTTTTTTAACCAGTTTCCCTGGGTAGGAAATCTGGCCTAATAAAGGAGGGCTATAAGCACACACAGCTTTCCTGGCTACAGGGAACACCAGCTATCACTAACTGTGGCATAAGCTACAGGGCTTTTTCATTTTTGTTTTTTTTATTTTTTTTAAGCCACTCTAGAGTTTTATAAAAATCCTGAGCCCTCATGAATATCAAGAGAGACCAACGGGAAGGCTTGAACTTATTTATTTTTATTGTATATGTGTGAATGTTTGCCTAACCATATGTATATGTACCATGTGCATGCAATGCTCCTGGTGGCCAGAAGAGGGCACCAGTTGCCCCTGGAACAAGTTAGCCACTGATCTGGGCCCTCTGGATGTTCTTAACCACTGAGCCATCTCTCCTCAGCTCCCTTTTCTTCCGTTCTTTAAAGTATTGTTTGTGTCTACAGCCATACCACCTTGAACTCATGTAGTCTCATCTGATCTCGGAAGCTAAGCAGGGTCAGGGCTGGTTTGTAGTTGGATGGGAGACAGGCTGGGAATATCAGGTGCTGTAGGCTTTTGCACGTGCATGGGGGAAGGGGAGAGAGCACACATACGCCACAGGGCAAGAGCGGGGAACAGAGGGCAACTTGAGGGAGTGAGTCTCCTTCCACCCTCTGCGTCCCCACAGCAGGCTTGGTGGCAAGTGCCTTTACCGGATGAGTCGTTTCACTGGCCGGAGAGAAAGTATTCAAGACTCACTGAGGAAGACCTTTTCAGGAGTAGGGCAGAAATCCAGCCATGGTAGAGGTGGAGTAGAGGAACAAGAAAAGCGGTCGTGTGTAGTAGAGATTGTCTGCTTTTCAGGTTCAGGAGAGGGTGAACAGAAATGTCACCAACACAGTGCCTCTCTGTGTGTTCTTGGCGCCGCCCACCTCCAGGGTAGTCCTTCCCTCACTTAATCCTCTCTGGAAACACCCTCCTGGAAGACACGCCCAGAGCTGTGTCTCCTAGGTGACTTTGAATCTAACCGTCTATCTTATCTGCACTCTGCCGGCAGCCTCAGCAGCAACCCGCACCCCCTCTCCTCGTGTTACTTTTTTCTTCCCAGGACTTCCTGCCTGAGCCGCATGCCCCGCCCACTTACTCCTGGGGAAGGAGAGCAGTGGACATAAGGAGAGGGGCAGTCTCCTCAGGAAACAGCGGTCTTTCTATCAGGCAGTGAGGGAATTGACACTAGACAGCCATAAGCAGATACCTGAGTCCCCACCCCCCACACGTGAACTCCCCGTGTCCCAGCCCTAGTTCATCACTGGACCTCTGTGAACCTCGGTTTCCCCATTTGTAGATGTCGGCCCCTGCCCTTCCTGGCTCCGTCTGAGACATATGAGGCGGTGAGCTGGGAATCCGTGTCCGAACTAGTGGGTCCCAGAGCAGTTCTCGTGCCGCCACTCTGACCTACCCAACCCCTCTGTCTCCTCACAGAGCACCTGAAGAAGCCGCTGGAGGACTACATGGCCCTCTTCCCCAACGTGAGGATTCTCCGGACCAAGAAGCGGGAAGGCCTGATCAGGACCCGAATGCTGGGGGCTTCGGCTGCCACGGGTGACGTCATCACGTTCTTAGACTCACACTGTGAAGCCAACGTCAACTGGCTGCCCCCTCTGCTGGGTAAGGAGCGGGGTGGCCTGGAGTGGGTAGGCGGGTGACCTCCCACTCCCAACACAGACTTCTTCTGCTTACCTGGCGGCTCGCAGCAGAGCTCCAAGCTCCAGAAGGGGTTCAGAAGTTCAGGTCTGTCCCCTCGTTTCATAGAGTAGGAAAGTGTCAGGCACCAGTGACCAGACGACCTCTCTCAGGCTGTTGGAGAGCAAACCAAAGCCTCCAACCACTGAGAGCCAAATTATGAGGCCTTGTAGATGTATCTCAGTTGGTAGAGCACTTGCTTAGCATGAGTCTCTGGGTTCCATTCCCCAGTACTGCACCGCATAAATGAGGAATGATGCCGCTGTCACCCAGGCGCTTGGGAGGTAGAGACAGAGGGATTAGAAGTTCAAAGTCATCCTCAGTTGAAAAGTGAGTCTAAGGCCACACTGGGATTGATGACACCAACCAAATTATGGTGGTGGGGAGTGGTGTGTGTTTATATCAGGGGAAAATAGTTGCCGCTCAGCACCAACACTGTGAGCCAGGTGCAGGAAAGATCTCCAGGCCTCACAAGGGCGCACAGTATTGAACCGGTCTCTTCTGTAGTAGAAGAAACTGAAGTTGAGCTGTTGGGTGACTTGCTTGTCCCATGGGGCACTGGAGTCAGAGTCACAGTATGTCAGGGACCAGAGCCTGTTCTCCACAACTCTCAGGTGCCCAGGATGGAGGCACAATCCAGGAACTTGCCACCGAAGCCCGTGGGTAGAGCATGGGCACCACGGCACTTGGAGTGGAGGAAGAGCAGAGCGTGGGCACACGGCACAAGGAGATCCACCCAGAGATGGGCGGCAAACAGATGCTTCCAGACAGCTAATATCGGTGATCTGTCAAGACCGGGAGACACGGCAGGTCAGAGCCAGGGCAAGCTGTGATGCTCTCATCCTCAAGAGAACAGTGAGCTCCACGCCAGAGGACAGACGTGGATGGCAAATGAATGAGCAGCACAATCCTCCGAAAGACCCTCCGTGCCCCAGCCGGACACTCGGACATGCCGATTACAGGGGCCTGAGGGGCCTCACTAGTTCTGTCTTCCAAGTGCTTCCTGGTCCAATAACTGAGGCAGCAAATGCCTCCGTGTGGGGTGCGGGTGAGGAATGAAAGCAAGCCCCACATGGACTTCCGGGCTAACCCAGCTGGGTTTTCTTCCCTGACCACACACTATGAATTTACTGGATTACGTCCTTACTGGATTACGTGCCGGGGACTCTCACTGGGCTGAGGGCAAGACCAGAATTTCTGGTAAACTGTGTATTTGATTAGACCAAGCAATGGCCTACATCTGCCTCTCATTACTGAAGGAGAGAGAGAGACTGGAGAAGCCTTGGCCTCAGCGGCCAGCACGTTTGCAGTCCGAGAGGAGTGGGCATGTGGAGGGTCCTTCCAAGAGAGTGAAGCGGTGGACCACTGAGCTGAGCTTGCCTCAACGGCCCTTAACTCTGTTTCTATGGAAATGGGTGAGGGCTATTTTCATCCTCCACAGAAAGGAGACACAGCCCTCTTGCTCTCTCTCTCTTTTTCCCCCCTCCTCTCTAGTAGAAACCCAAGAACTTCCACATGGATCCCAGTGTGGCTTTTGTCTGTGAGCCCGTTGACACCTCTGGGCTTGGCTGGCTCTGCCCTTATTAGTGATTAGACATTATGGAACCTGAGGACTCCGCCTGGTGGGAAAGCCAACCTCAGAAATTATCCTTTCGCCTCATTACTGTCATGGTCCTCGAGGCTTTGCGAGTCCCTCTGAGTTTAGGCCTCATCTGAACCTGGATTTGACGCACACAGTCCAGCAGGCAGACTCCGCGTTCTTATCTACATTCTGCATGTGACAAAGAGGGCAGGGGTACTCAGGCTCTCTGTGGCTCCTGTGAATGCCTAGCGGTAACCGTCATGGTCCTAGAAAACGGGGGATGCCAGCATCTGCCTTCAGAGACCTCCCCGAAACAAAAAGAAACAAAACTCCGAGGCATCAGCTGGTCATGCCCAAAGCTGCACTGTGAAGAAGGGGTGACATTGGGATGTGAACCCGGGCATTCAGTTCCCAAACAAGTACAAGTGGCATGTCAGCCGTCCTCGACACCAGTAATCTCTGGAAGTGAAATCGCCACGGAATGGGGTGCCTTCTCCAGATCTTTCCCTCTTTCCCTCAGGCATCATGGAGACACCCCCACCTCGGGGCGTCTGCCATGGACCAGGAATTCTGACTCAGTGGGTGAGGAGAGCAGTGTAAAAGCCACCCCACGTGCCATCCAGCACTGGTCATGCTGCTGTCCATCTGGGGATACGTGACACAAGTGGCATTTCTGTGACTGTGTGTGTGTGTGTGTGTGTGTGTGTGTGTGTGTGTGTTTTGTGGCTAGTGTATCCTGAACAAATGCTCTACCACCAAGCTACCTCTCTGGCCCCTGAAACTGTTCATATCACGTGTCGCAGTTAGAAATGTATCGGCCAGCTCAGTCTAGGACACACCTGCCCACACGCACAGAGGGACTAAGCCGTGCTTCCTGACATTTTGCCTGTAACAGAACCTGCTGTCTCGTGAATGGTCACTGTTCTCCAGGCTTGTATGCATGTATATATGCATATACGCACACAAGCGCACACAAGCACACACACAATTCCATCACTCACCTACCTACCCGTGGGTCATGCCTTCAGATTAAGAAAGAGAGAGAGAGAGAACAGGCACAGATGCTGTGAAAAATTCTGTACGGCCTGCTGAAATGTGGGTCCTGCCCTTCTCTAGCCCTCTAGGGCCCACATTGCAAGTCTTGAACATGACCCGTGACCTATAACCCTTGACCCTGAACAACAGACTCCCCCGGCACCGGCCATCTTCCCCTCATGACAGACCATTGAGCCTACAGTGGTCCTCAGAGCACCCTGTGGGAACGACATAGGGTAGATCAGACCAGCACTGGGGTCTTTGTAACAGACTGGGCATAGTGGCTCAGTCAGCCCCTCCCAAGCTTGGAAGGAATCACGGCATGGATTGGGTTAGGGGGGCATCTGCTGTTTGGATCCACTCAGCCTGTGGCATTCCACCACAGGGGGGTGCACCCTGCCCGCATACACTCAGAGCTTTCTAGGGCTAGGCTGCTCCCTCTTGCGTAGCTGGGGCTGTTTGAAAACTCAAGCTGAACTCTCTTAACTGACGACCACAGCTGTGGGTGCCCATGGGCAGCTGGGAACAGACAGACACTAGGGAACCTGGCTGCTTTCGGCCGCAAACCATGATCAGGATTTTGCAATAAGGAGCATGGCAAGGGGTCCTCAGAGAAGAAAAACAGAGCCATACACCTGTAGCCCCATGGTTTGGTATTTTCACATACTGTGTTATCCGAGCCTTTTAACAAGCTCAGAGGCAGACCTGGGGCTTGAGGAACCGCCCTCCTGCCATGCTGGGTGTGGAAGGAAGCCAGCCATGGGTGATCCTGGGAGCTGTTGAAGCAGGGGCGGCCCCCTGGCTGCTGCCTCCACTAATGGGCATCTCTCCACCACCTCAGACCGCATCGCCCGGAACCGAAAGACCATCGTGTGCCCCATGATCGATGTCATCGACCACGATGACTTCCGCTACGAGACACAGGCTGGGGACGCCATGCGGGGCGCCTTCGACTGGGAAATGTACTACAAACGCATCCCCATCCCCCCTGAGCTGCAGAAGGCTGACCCCAGTGAGCCATTTGAGTAAGTACAACTGGTCGGGGCTCATCCTGGCGGTGACCCAGGGACCCTGCCAATACACTCAGAAACGAGCGTTGGGTATCTCTAACCACTGAACTTACCTCATTCTCTCACACCGCTCTCTTCATCTCAAGTCTTAGACATCCCGCACATACAGTGGGGGCCTCTCTTTGCCAAGTGCCTCCAAGTGCAGCAGCTGCCGCAAACCACCCAGGGTTAATGTCACCTCTGGTGACTCAACAGAAGTTAAGTGAGGGGTTCCCATCCCACCGACACTGCCTATGGTACCACCACAGTTCATTCCTAAGAGGGCGGGTCGGAGGGACATGGGTTCGGACCTGTGGCTTGGAGACCAGGTCAGAAGCCAGCCGCGAGGCCAGTCGTTCCGAACCATCCCAGGATTACCTGGGACTGCTGCCGATTCACAAGGGCGGAATCCGGATGGCCAGGGTGAGCCCCGCCTCCTTTGAAGGCTGAGGTGAGCACTGTGCTGTGTCACACCCTCAGTAATGGCCCAGGATCCCCTCTTGTATGAAGGTCCCCTCCAACCACTACAAGGTCAGGTGCAGCCTTGTCCCATCGGTCTCTCCCATGAGTCCTGGAGCCAAGCAGGGCCGCGGGCCACACAGGCCATCTCTGGTCATGTTGGTTTGGAGGTTTGGGTTTTATTTTCAACAGACTGGGACACAGCCATCCACCCTGATAGGTGTGCACACAGCTTCCTGTGTGGGGTGCCATGGTTTCTTTTGGAGCCCGTCATGTCACACCCTGACTCTCTCATCCCCTGGCCACACCTCTGTGCGTTCATGTCTGCGCCTTGCTGGTTCCCTTCTCCCCTGCAGTGTTTTTGCCTCAACACACCTCTTAAACAAACACCCTTTCCTCTGAGTATCCTATCTGCTTTCTCACCCCCAGGGCTGAAAGCAGACACAGCCTTCCTTAGTGCTTTTGTCAGTATGTCCCTTAGGCCTTTACGGTACTTTACTGCCTTTACTGTCTCCTGGATCCTTCTGTCTGAGGTGACTTCTCCACCATACGGCTGTCCCCCAAAGGACAGTGGTTTGTCCCCTGACTCCATCCAGCCCCTGCTTCGTGGGTGGCATTCAGTGATGAATGAATGAAGTTCATCCTTGCTCCCAGAGTAACTGGGAGGACTGAGCACAGCCAAGCAGGCATCCGCTGAGCTCAGTGAGAGAAAACCCTCAAAGGATCAAGCACTAAACCAGGTGCTTGGGCTCCAGCCCAGAGGCTGCTTCCACAGGCCTGGCGAGGGCCCAGCGAGCTGTGTTATTTTTCAATCTCTCTAGAGGGTTCTGCAGCGCGCACACCCTGAAAACCACGGTTCAGACCCTGTGACTCAGGGGAAGCTAGAGACTGGTCTGTGGAGCAGCTGCAAAGCCTGTGGGGAAGAGCTGCTGCTGCAGCAGATCTCACTTCACAAGTGCTCTCAAGTGTTGACTGCATCAAGAGACTGGGGACCTGCTGGGTTGAAATGCAGCGGTTTGGCAGAGGGTGTGTCAGGCAGGAAGGCCAGGTGTCCACCCATGAGGCCTTAGAGTCTCCAGCAGATAAGCCGGGGTCCTGGGGATGCCATCAGCCGAGAAGCAGGGGCTCCTGACTGCATGCCCTCACACCTTGCGCCTTCTCCGGCAGGTCTCCCGTCATGGCTGGAGGGTTGTTCGCTGTGGACCGGAAGTGGTTCTGGGAGTTGGGCGGATACGACCCTGGCTTGGAGATCTGGGGAGGGGAGCAGTATGAGATCTCCTTCAAGGTGAGTCTCTTCTCCCATGGGCAGCTGCTGTGGCTTCTCTGCTCCTGCTGACCACTCCCTGTGGTAGGGGACAGTGAGAGGGTGGAAAGGACCTGTAGGCTGCCTCGGCCATAGATATGACCAGCATTTGCTTCCGCTAGGCAGGGCAGGGCTGTGACAGAACTGCCCACCAGTGTTGGGAAGATGAAGACAGACAAACCTAGGCCTCAGGCCACGTGGCCCCACAGATGCCCAGCTGGCCTGCATGGTCGCCTGTTCAAGTCTTTCCTCTTGTTCCTGTCACAGCAGGAATGGGCAGAGACCAGTAGGTGGAAGAGTTGGAAAGACTCAATCTAAATTTTAATCCTGTCACTGGGTAGCTTTGGCTTTGAGCAATTTAGATCATCTCTCCAGGGTTTGCCTCCTCTGCTGAATGAGATCAGTAACACACACACACACACACACACACACACACACACACACACACACGGCCACCTGGGAAGGTTAACTGAGATGACTTAGAAAATGCTCATCACAGAGCCTGGACCACAGCCAGAGATGAGTGGCTGACAGACATTGCTAAAGATGACATGAATCAATATTTACCGTTGCCTCTAGATCGGAGAGCCAACACACTGCCTGACAGATCTAGTTACCACCAGCTACAGGGGTGTGCTTTCTACTCGGTACTTGTGGGGTTCTGTTTGGAGAGCAGGAGAAGGCTCAGCCCCTACGAGGGAAAGAAGAGCTTGTCCTATACGCTTGCAGTCCATCCGGACCAGTATCAAGGGCTGGTGAGGCGGCTTAGGATAAAGACGCTCAGTGCCAAGCCAGATGACCTGAGTTCCATCTCCAGAACCCAGATGGTGGAGGCAAAGAACCATTTCCCACAAGTTGTCCTTGTGCCACAGGTTGTGGCACTCACAGGCACGTGTGTACATGCGCACACATACACGCAACCGTAGAACCAGCATTCCGAGTGACCAGACCCTGGCTGACAAGCCCCCAGTCCATGAGGGACAAGCAGCACCCTCACTGGCTTGAGCCTCAAGGCTCGGTGCAGCAGTCTGATATCAAGCGCTGGCGAAGGACCTCGGGGCTGGGCCCGGGTGGTCCATGTCAGGTCCTAGCTCGTCCCCTTCCAGCAGCAGCTGTGTGGTCTTGGGCCGGGATGTGTCCCCCTCACTGAGCCTTAATTTCAGCTTTCATAAAAGGAGGTTGGTGGTTATGTGGTTCTCAGTGTTGTTGAGAATTAATGAGATTGTGCTTGCTAGGGGGCTATTTAATAATAGTCCTAAAGAGCATTATCATTATCGAGATGTCAGTATCAACCTCAGAACCGGCTGCACGGTTCAGACGTTGGGAATACAAACAGCTCCCTAGAATTCTGCGTAACATTTCTCTGCTGCGATCAACAGTAGTCTGTGTCTCTGTTAGCCTCCAAATCACTGGTGCTTTCTCCTTTGAGAGGCCCAGCCTCTTAGATGCAGCTAACATTGGTATCATGGAGTGATGCCCAAAGTAGTTAGCAGAGGATTTGGTACCAAGCAACTGGAACAGATGCCCTGTAACAGCACACCTCCGGCCACGTTTAAGTGAATAAGATGCCGCTCCAGCCCTTCCCATGTGTCGGGCTGTGTAATCCTCACAACCACCTGTGAGGGTGATGTCACTTCACACCCACCTCACGGAAGCAACTAGGATTCAGACTGCACGGTCTACAGTGGCTGGGCCTGACCCCAAGCTTACCGGCTCCAAAGTCCACGTGTTAACCTACCGAGAGAGAAGCAACCGAGAGGAAAGCTAGCCTAAGAAACTCAGAGGCTTTCGCTCACCCTTGCTTCTCAGGTTTTGCCTCTCCCCAGGGTCCTTCCCGTTTTACTTGGTTATTCTTTGGGCCCTCGGTGAATAAATAGAATGGGTAACAGGCCTAAGTCCGAAGTAGCAAATAAGGTACTGGAGACGTGGCTCAGTGGATAAGAGCACATAATGTTCTTGTAGAGGACCTGGGTTCAAATCTCAGCGCCCACATTGGGCAGCTCACAATCTCCTCTAACTCCAAAGGATCAGATACCTCCTGTGGCCTCTGTACCTATTCTTATGTGCATAAGAGTAGTTGTTATATGTGTTACAGACACATATGTTCAATTTTTTTTTTTTTTTTTTTTTGAGACAGGATCTTTCTGTGTAGCCCTGGCTGCTGTAAAACTCACTCAATAGACCATGCTGGCCTCAAACCTGCCTCTACCTCACGAGTGCTGGGATTAAAATCGTGTGCCACCACTGCCTGGTTTACAGAATTTTTTTAAAGCTAAAATAATAATTTTTAAAAGGAAAAAAAAATAGAAGAAGAAGGAGGAGGATAAAAAAAGAAGAAGAAAGAAGAAGGAGTAGGAGGAAGAGGAAGAAGAAGGAGAAGAAGAAAAGAAATAGCCTGAGCCTCTCCCTAGATGCCCTTTGGTAGGGGCCTTCCCAGTGGCTGTGTAGCCTGAGGCTGCTCATTCCATAGACTGATAATGGATGGTGTCTGCCGTGGGTGCAGGTTTTGTGAGTCATAGCACAGAGGTCTCGTCAGTGGGGTCAGTATCCCTAGCTGTGTAATCTGGCTTGGCAAATGTTACACTCCATGGTGCGCTGAAGTCACAGTCTGCCACCAAACGCTGTTTTATGACACATTCTTCCAGGTTTGTCCTCGGGAAAGACCCATCCAAATAGCGAAGTGTTGCTAGGTAACTAAGTCTAGTAGATCCGGGATCCTTCTGTGTCTTAAGCCATGGCTACCTCCGCAGCAACTGGAGGATTGCTGGCAAGGAAGGTGCTGCCTGAAGATCTGTGGCCCGGAGCACCTGTGTGACTGGCCAGAGCCATTTCTAAGTCTCCCAGCAACTTGCTCTCTAGAAACCGCTGGCTTGGAGAACGGCCAACGGTGAGTCGCTCACAAAGGGATCTCGAAACCCAAAAGGATTTCATTTTGTTCCATGTGTTTCAAAAAGTCACATAGTGACACTCCTCAGCCAGTCACAGCAGGACAGATGATGTTTTGTTTTTTGTTTTTTGTTTTTTTTTTTTCTTCCTCCACTCAGTTTATTTACAAAAGACTTGGTAATGAAGCCACACTGGGGTATGTGGAAGGAAGCTGGCTCGAATTCCATCTGATCCAATTATGTTGGCCACTCTCTGGGGAAAATGAGCCAGCCGAAATAAATAAGTGACCCTGGCATCAGGGAGGAAGACATTCTTCTGTCAGTTCTCTCTCTCTCTCTCTCTCTCTCTCTCTCTCTCTCTCTCTCTCCTGGCCAGTGACAGCCCACCTGTCCTGCCTGTGTTCCAGGCCCAAGGCAGGCAGGCCTGTCCATCTGCCCTGGTGGCTCCCTGAACACAAAGTTCTGGGTCAGCCAGAGCTCAGCCTCTCCCTTTGCTGAGACCCCATTCTTCATGGTGACAGAAAAGCCGCTGGCCTAAAAGACACAAGTGCACTTCCAGAAATCATGAGGGATCTGTCTGTGCCATGAGGCCTGACAGATCAATAACCCAGCTCTGATTCCAGACCAGACCTGTTTCTCCTGAGGGAGAACCCCAGCAGATCCACTCCAGGGCTAAAGGCATAGCCTGGAGGGAGAGGGTTTGCCCAGCAATTGTGAGCTACTGCCACAAGGTAAATAACCAGTTAAAGCAGTGCCGCTATTGATGAACTGGTTGGATATGGTCTCAGGCTAGTTTGGGCTACACAATAGCAATGTTCGAAGGAAGGAAGGAAGGGAGGGAGGGAGGGAGGGAGGGAGGGAGGGAGGGAGGAAGGAAGGAAGGAGAAGGAAAAGGAAAAGGAAAGCAAGGGCTGGAAATGTAGCACACTAGATATAACGATTGCCCAGCATGTGGGCTCTGGGTTTGATCCCCAGCATAAACTAGCTTGGCGGTGCATGCCTGTGATCCTAAGCACTAGGAGGCAGGAGAATCAGGAGTTCAAAGTTACCCTGGGCTACATGAGACTTTGCCTCAAAATAAAACAGGAAAACCACAGTCTGAAATGTCTAGACCGGTCACTGATCCCTTCTTTCTCCTGCAGGGGTCATTGTGTGAGTCTCCTGCTTGGAGCTTAACATCTCCTCCGTTCTAGAGGCTGGTTAAATACTGGGCCCTGTAGCTCAGTGCACCCCACTTCTCTCTATGCCTCCCCCTTCTCTTCTGACCCCACCGTTCTCTGGGGGCTCTTATGCCAGTAACTCATTAAAAAAAAAAAAAAACAGGCCTGAAGGGCTGGCAGTTCCCAGGTAGGCACTTGCCCCTCATCCATGTCCAGTACTCTTCAGGGCTATCTGCTGAAGCTCCCCAGCAGCCTATGGGAGCTTGACGGGAAGCTCCTTGAGTGTCCTTGGCCTGATGAATGTGAGTCTGTCCCAGGGCCAGCTGCAGCCCTGGCCCTCCTGGAGCCAAAAAGGTGGTGTTCTGGGGAGGGACTTGACCGCAGCCGGCCTTGGTTTCCTTGTGTGAAGCTGCATTGGCTGTGCAGGAAGCAAGGCCTGAAGGTACTGTGTGACTGACCAAGAGCAGAGCTAGGGCTAGGGCTAGGACCTAACATGGTTGCCATGGCCCAATACAACTCAGGGCACCTACCTGGGTCTCTGGCTTTCTTTCCCAGAAAGGGGCATCCCCCAGTTTTGGGATTCTGTCTCTCCAGTTGAGAGATGTTTGCTACAAGACAGATTTGATGGAGACCATGATAGTGACACTGTCTGTTCCACTTCACCCCAGGTAAAAATAAAGGCAGGCTGCATCCAGAGAAAGATGGGGGTAGGACCTTTTCTTTCAGACAGTGACAGCTCTCCTGGCTAAGAAGCACAAGCACGCCAGGCGCTTTCTCAAAACAAACAGAAAGACCTGAGACCTCAGCTCACAAGGCTGGGGACTAAAGCTCGTAGCCCGGTCACTGGCCCCAGGAGGGGTGAATAGGATAGACCTCCACACAGAGAAAGAGTGCCATCAGGCAAAGCCGCCCACGAGGCTCACAGCTGAGCTGCGTCTGTGCACATACTCACGTTGCATTTAAAGGAAAAGCAATGAAGGCGTGCTGTGAGTCCCTGCCGCAAACCGAGAAGCCCTATCAGGTCAGGGCCTGCAGGGAGGGTGGGGAGACAGCAGAGCTCAGGGTACAAGGAGTTCTCCAGACTGAGGGAAGAGCTATGGGACACAGGGACAAGAGGTGGGAGATGGGGACAGGGAGAGACAACTAAGAAGATACTCCTCCAGCACCTCCATCCAGGACAGGAATCCACAGAGGGGATCCAGCCAGGTCCTCTGTGAGTTCAGGACATCCTGGGCTCTGGGAACACCTCAGCTGCCTCAGACCTTCCTGCAGAGCAAGGTCATCCTGGTCCCTTCAGGCTGGTAGCCAGGGCCAAGGGAACTGGAGGTCCCTGCGAAAAGGCGGCTTTGGATTTCATTTGTCCGCTTGCACAGTGAAAGGACTCCTAGCCAGCAGAGCTGGGGACAGCTTTAGCTAATGCCAGTGTCACAGGAGATGTCAAAGCCAGGGTAGGCAAGTTGTCTCCACCGTCTTGGCAACACCACTCAGAAAGGCAGAGGGTGGCCTGGCAGCAGGCAGACATATCTGCCTGGCAAAAGCATCCTTCCCCATCAATCCCTGTGAGAGGAGAGTGGCCTTGATGGGAGGCTGGCGGCTGATCAATATCCCCTGCTTTAAAAATAAACTTCTTGGCTTGGCCTTGACATTAATCCAGCATCCAGAGCCCATTATCTCGAGACCGGTATTCTGTTCGATTGACCAGCCAGAGTTTTCCTCTTCCGTACCATCAGAACTGCATTGCCCAGGCAGCACCTCTGCTAACTGCATTCTGGAACAGCTCCCATCTTGGGAAATGGCACAGGGGATATCCTGTGTCCATCCTGGCAGGGGCTAGCAAGACCCAAGACCCTCTGAGAGCCCCGAATGGATTAGGACATAAAGCCCAGCCCCCAGCAAGGGTGCTGCACAGAACTGGGGTTGTCCCGTGCCAGTCTCTCAGTCCGCAGGAGGTGGGATGTGAAAACGTGACTAACAGCGTCCCAGAAGCAGCTGGGACCCTCCACACCCAAAGCCGCTGTGGCCCCAATTCTGGTCTGTAGTATCTGCCCAGGACCGCACCTGCCCCATTCCGTGAGCAGAGTCAACTGTGTAAAATCAAATGGTATGAAGACATCCTATCCAACCAGAGCCTGGTGAGAGCCTGTGCCTTTCCTTCCTTTACCCTCCACTGGACTCCAGGCCTCTCACATTCATGGTACAGTGTCTGTGTCTACCCATGAGCCTTTGCACACTTGGTGTTCTCTTTACCATAATCCCCCCTGAGTCAGACCATCCTAGCTAATGGGGACAATGCAGTAGCCCACACACACACACTGATTCCCTTCTTTTTCCCAGCCTGCCGCCACTTCTCAGGTCTTGTGTGCATGTAAACCAAGGAACTTAATTCATATTATTCACAGGATCACGGACACCTTACCCATGGCTACAGCACTGAAGAAAACATCTCTTCCCTCCCTAGCAACCGTTAACGGCCTCAGTCATATGGGAACGATCAGGGGCCCAATCTGTTTTGGTTTTGTTAATGAATTTGGAGGTTCTGTGGCACATAGGTGGAGGACAGCCTTGGGGAGTTGGTTCTTTCCTTCTGCATGCAGCTCCAGAGATTTGGCAGTGTTGTTTTGTTTTTGTTTGTTTTATCTGATGAGCCATCTTTTCGTCTGTAGGGGCCCAATCCTGGGCAGGTCTTAAGCACCACAGCTGCTGTGAATTCAAGAGTATGGTAGCCACGTCACGCCCATGGGTTTCTATTCTAGCCTTGCCACTTTTTTTCTTCTGGCCTCTGGCCTCCAGCTGTTCCTCTCAGTGGCTGCAGTGGGCAACCACACAGCCGTTGGTGGCCAGGGCTGTCAGCTGCTTCTACTCTGTTGCCTTGCCGAATCCCTCCCCCTCCTCTCCTGCTCCCTACCATTCTGAGTTCAGGGCCTGAGAAGGCCACACAGGCTTCGAGCAGGCATCTGAGAGGACATAAGAACAGAGGCACCACCTTCATCCTCCCTTCTTCCCCTGCAGGTGTGGATGTGTGGGGGCCGTATGGAGGACATCCCCTGCTCCAGAGTGGGCCATATCTACAGGAAGTATGTGCCCTACAAGGTCCCTGCTGGAGTCAGCCTGGCCCGGGTAAGGCGGTGGCTTTCCAGGGAATTGGGGGCAGCCTGTGGCAGCGGAGAGGCCTCCTGGGGCCCCAGGCTGAGTGGCTGATAGACTCCCAAGTGAAATATAGCTGAAAGGAACTTCCATAGAGCCCTGCTTGGCCGCTTGGAGGCTGTGCCAGGCTGGGAGGTTTGCCCGGCCCCTCTGAGGCTGGATTTGGAGCTTTGTGAAAATGGAGTTGATCCTTCCGAACTCAGCATTGCCCAGCACCACAAGAAAGAAAGAAAGAAAGAAAGAAAGAAAGAAAGAAAGAAAGAAAGAAACCTGTCAAGCAGGCATGGTGGTGGTCTTTTCTATTGAAAAGCTTGCAAGAAGCCATAAATAAATGGCTCTCTTCTTTGCCTTTCCCCAATACATGTAAAACTGTTTCACTGACCTGAAAACCCTTTAAGGGGTGAATTGACCGCTGACTACAGGGAGTAATCATTAGCAAACTGTCTTGGGAGCATGGGGGTTCTTTTGCTGGGGAAATAAATTTCATTGGGAAAAAATAAAAAAATAAAGGTGACCTCAAAAATAAGTGAAAGAGGTGCCTCTGAAAAGACACATCAATGTTTGTGGTAGTACAAGAAAAGCCAGAGTGAAGCCACACCCCAAAAAAGAAACTTTGGGAGACCTTCTGGTCTGCATTCCCAGCCCTCCACTTTCCTAGGCCTTCTTTCCTTGCCAGAGAGGGATTTTCCCAGCTTCGGGTACAGCTGAGCCAGAACACTGCTGGAAGGCAGGGTGGCAGAGCCCTCTAGTGGTGTCTCTAAAGACAGCCTCCAGGCCCGCTGCTCCGTGGACATCCCGTTAACCTGGGAGCTGGGTTCCACGGAGAGGTGGAAATCCTCCCAGATGTCCTTGGCCTTCCCTGACGAGTGCCAAACAGGAAAACAGAGCCACAGCCTTTTCCTAAGCTAGAGACTGCTACTCTTGGAGGCCACCAGGAGCATGGGGACAGTAACCCTTTTCCAAGCCAAAGATGAGTATGAGCCTGTTGGACGCTACAGTGACACCATGTAAGCCTGCCTTCCAGCCAGGCACCCTGCAGAATGGGGCACACCGGCCTCCCTTCTCCCTGGGTTCCGTTCTCCGCTTCCAGGATGGAGATGAAATGGAAGCAATTAAATAACTCACAACTTCCAGCTCAGACCCGCTGAGCTGTATCCTGACAGGTGCCTGTATCCCTTTCCTAAACAGCAGCCATGACTGTCCACACAGGCGTTCGTGGCTGCATCCCTGTTAACAGCTGGGGCTGGTCACCATGAGGCCGTGTCTCACCTGCATCCCGTTCAGGCAGCTGACATCTTTGGCCACCTGTCCCGAGTCGGGTCCTTTGTTTGACATGAGCTAGCCCCAGAGGTGCATCCCAGCGCTTCCCTATAAGCCCAGCTGCCACCTGTGTTTCATTGGTGCCTGGCCATGCCCCCTCACTTACATAGGCCGTGGCTGGTTTACATCTCCGTGACTTGAGACCATCTGGTCCAAAGACCTCAAGTCTCCACCAGAAAACACTTCAACGTTTGTCCAGCCCCACCATGCTGTCTGCTCCAGAAGCAGACCGTTTCAGGCCGGTGTGAATAACTGATCACACTTCATGGGAGACCTCAGATGAACCTCAGGATAGAAATCACGCCCGCCTAGTCACGGGTGGGTCTTGAGGAAGGGGAAAGCGGGTCCTAGCCATTGAAGGAAGACTGGGTTTGAAGGAACAGGTTTCCAAGCGTCCACTTGTGCTCTTTCATTCTGAGTAGAGTCTGTGCGGCAGGGATACCGGATTCCCACCTGATTGACACACAGGATCTTAATCTTCCTGTCTCCAAATCGTTCTGCCCAGGGATACCTCCCTTTTGGGCTTCCTCCCATTCTAGTGGTTGTAGTTTTGTAGCCGGCTGTCCTGAGGCTTCCTAACGAAACTCTCAAACCTCTGAGGACTGTTAGAAATCCCACCTGCTGGTGGGATTAGACCTTCTGGGTGCAAATTCTTCTTCTTACGGAATGGCCAGGACTGTTGGTTAAAAATGACAGAAACCCAACTCAGATTGGCCTTGAAGCACTGGAGAGGTGTCTTGGTGCAGGCATGGGTGGCTGAGTTTGGATGCCAGCACCCACCAGCTAGCCCATAGACACCTGTGTGACCACAGCTCAGCCGGGGGAAGACAGAATAGCTGGGGTTGGCTGCTCACCATCCTAGCTCAGTGAGAGGAGGGGGCTGGTGAGATGGCTTAGAGCTAGCCTGGGCTCTCCAGCAAGCCCGACCCCTGCAACTTTGTCTCATTGCAGAACTTGAAGCGAGTGGCGGAGGTGTGGATGGATGAGTACGCTGAATACATCTACCAGCGCAGACCGGAGTACCGCCACCTCTCCCCCGGGGATGTCGTGGCCCAGAAAAAGCTCCGGAGCTCCCTCAACTGCAAGAGCTTCAAGTGGTTTATGACCAAAATCGCCTGGGACCTGCCCAAGTTCTACCCACCCGTGGAGCCCCCAGCCGCGGCGTGGGGGGAGGTGAGTGTGGATGGAGGGACCGGACACAGACACCCGAGAACGTGCCGAAGAAGGCCTAAAAGTCACAACCTCTCTCTCCTTTCTCTCCGGGACCCCCATCCTGGAGGGGTTGATTTTTGTTTTATTGTGCTTTTGAGCGTTCCAAGTATCTAAGCTGGATTAGCATGCATTTCACCTTTTGACCGGGAGACGCTCCTGGGTTTGCTTTATTTTTTTTAATGTCCTTTGACTTGCGATGCCAGGGATCAGACACCCAGGATCTTGCATGCTGTAAGCCATGCCCCTGTGAGACACACACACAGCCCATCCTGCCCATTGGAAATACAGACTAAGAGTTTAGAGGCCAGGTTCAGAACTGAGTTAATGTCCTCTTTTCCCTCCTCCCCTTCCTGCGGACTACAGGACTTCTCATGGGCACTCCTGAAGCCCATTTGAAACTAATTCAATTGTTGCTGGCTTGCCTCCTGGTAATGTGTGGAGCCCAGAGCTCCCAGCTGACGTCCAGCCTACATGGCTGAGGTATGGGCCAGGCCCGTGTTCGTTCTGTGGACTGAGTTGGGAAGAACTCCCACTCCCTTGAGCCATTCCCTTGCCCTAAAGGATAACTTAGATGGATAGCAAACATCTCCCATCCTTCTCGAATAGTTTCCAAGACACTGTCCCTGGACACCTGCCCCTCAGGTCCCTGGAATGGAGGTCAAACTGGGTCCTGGATCTGTTGGATGGAATGTTCTCAGTGTGAGGCCAGAGAAGGGCCTTGGCCTCCAGGCTTCTTCCTTTGGGAGGACCTCCCAGCAGCCGGGGCTAAGCTCCTCACAGGCAGTTCAAAGTTCAGCCTGGCTTGGATTTCTGCCTGAGTCTCCCCACCAACCCAGCGAGGGCCCTTGAGGTGCCTCAGCGGTTGGTTCTTCCTTTCCACCCTCAGATTCGCAATGTGGGCACAGGACTGTGCACAGACACGAAGCACGGCACGCTGGGCTCCCCTCTGAGGCTGGAGACGTGTGTTCGGGGCCGTGGGGAGGCCGCCTGGAACAGCATGCAGGTAAGGCCCACTCAGTGGGTCCCAGGTCCCGGGACCGCTGTCAGTCAGAGAGCTTCCAGATTCCAGTTGTCTCAGAACTTCCAGGACCCCAGGGGAGGGGGAGGGACTTCCTGCATAATGACAGGTCCACTGTCCATCTGGACTGTCCACTAAACTCCAGCCCTCATGCCTATAAGCATAGGCAACTTTTGACTCATTTCACTAATTAGTTGTGTGTGTGTGTGTCTGTGTGTGTGTGTGCTTGCTCTGGTTTCTATTACTGTACAACTCAGCACCATGTTCTGAATACTTTATAAAGAATGGAAGTTTATTTAGCCTGAGGTCCTCATGGTTCTGCAGATCCAAGAGTGTGACACCAGCCTCTGGCCAGATCTGTCAAGGACCTTTCTGCAGGGCAATGACTCACAGAAGGCCCGGCCTTGATAGGCAGCATGCGCTGTAGCACATGTCTGTCTTCCTCCGCTTATGGAGTCACTAACCAGGGCTGGCTGGTGAGATGGCCCAGCCAGTAAAGGCGCTTGCTGCCTTAAAAGATCGAAAACCTGAGTTCAACCCCCAGAACTCTGGGTAGAAGGTGAGAACCAGATTCTCAGAGCTGCCCCTGACCAGCACATTCATGCAATGGCGCACACCATGCACACACTAAAAAAAAAAAAAAAAATCAGGGCCTCACCGTGTAGCCCTAGCTATCATGGAACTTGCTACATAGGCCAGGTTGGCCTTGAACTCACCAAGATCCTCTTGCCTTTGCCTCCTGAGTGCTAGAATTAAAGTCGTGACCATACCCGGCCTAGAAAAACAAATTTAAACAAACAAACAAAACAACACTGAGAGAATAAGGTCTGGGAATGCGGGCTGGCTACCAGAATACTCTCCTAACATGTGAAAAGCCCTGGATTTAATCCTCAACAACAGTGGTCATGGCGGCACACGCCTGTAATTAATCCCAGCACTCTGGAGGCTGAGGCAGGACGTGGGAAGGTCAAGGCCAGCCTGTGCTTTGTGAGTCCTTGTCTAAATAAATTAGTCACAGCAGGTCTCTCCTTGGTATGTTGGCAGAGATTCCTTGGAGGAGAGCTGGGTCATATGGTGGGGTTTTTTTGGTCTTGAAGCTTCTCCACACTGATCTTCACAAGGGCTGAACTGACTGGCCTTCCTCCCCGAGGCAGCAGAGCTACTTGCCCTGCGTCCCTGCGGCTTCCGTTGTCATTCTTTTCTCTCGCTCATGCGAATTAAAAACACAAATGCTCTAAAGCATGAGTAGTGTTCACTGCTCGGGCTTCTAACAAGACACGGGGAGCCCAGAGCACCGCACACCGCAAACCCTGCCGATGGAAACCAGAGGCTCGAGTAAAGGAAAGGTGGCAACTTCTTCCTGGGAGTCTGTGGCTGTGCTTTCCAAGCCGCTATGCAAATTCAGCACAATTCCAGCCTTCTAGACACTCCTCACTTAAGCAGCCCTATTGGGTCAAAGATTTACACACAAAAGTTCTTAGTGGCTTGCTTTTTAAGCCAAAATCCGGCAAACAGCCCAGGCGTGAGGACCAGCACAGGAGAGGGAGACAGGACAGTAACACCAGGGAGCGAGCTGTTGATAAATATGCTGGCCACCAGCATGATCACAAGGAGATTAAGTTGGGAAGAAAGAAAGGCAGGAAGGCATACTCCGATTCTAGCTTCAGAGAGCTCTAGAAGTTGCAACTCCACCTCTAGTAAGAGAGAGCAGATCACTGGTGGCCTGGGGACACCGTGAGAGGACTGGAGGGAGATGGGCCTGGGAGCACAGGGCCCCTGGATAGGGGTGGGCTCATTATCCTGATGGTGAGGGTGGTTTTAGGCAGCCTTCTTCAGTGTGGACGGTGTGTCAATGGTTAGTTAGTCTTCAGTAAAAGCTGTGGAAAGGTTCTGGGCTCGGCTGGGGAGATTAATAAGCTAAATTCAGGAAGTGGGTCCTGCTTTCCCGCTTGGATCTGCATTCAGGCTGGGAAGTCCCCTGGGTGTCTCATGACACCAAGGCCTTTGAGGGAACTTCCTCTCTGTAGAGGGGGCCCGTGCTGAAGCCTTTCTGTTGTGTCACCGTGTCTGGGATGCACTTGAGCACACACTAGGCAACACAGTGAGAGCGTTAGCTGAGAGTTCATCCCTTTTAAAGTTGAGTGACTGGAGGCTTTAGGAAGATGGCTCAGCCATTAACAGAACCTGTGGCTCTTGCAGAAGACCCAGGTCGGGCCCCCAGCAGCCACACCGGGTGGCTCACAGTCTTGTCACTCCAGCTCCAGAGGACCTGGCGCCCTCTACCTGTCTCTGCAGGCACATGGCACTCACATGCACACACACACATGCACATATTAAATAAAAGTAATCTCTTTTTTTAAAGTTAAGGCTGGCCTATTAGAACAGGAGATAAGAGTCAACAAACTTTTTCGGACCCCTGAGTTTAATTTTTCCTAATTTAAGACAAAACAGAAGAAGCCAGGCATGGTGGTAAGCGCCTGTAGGAGGAGGCAGGCGGATCTCTAAATTTGAAGCCAGCCTGGTCTACAAAGTGAGTCCAGGACAGCCAGGGCTACACAGAGAAACCCTGCCTGGAAAAGGAAAGAAACAAAGTTGAAACTGTTAAGCAGAATTTCTGAATAATCTTCAGATAATGATGTTCCTATGTAATAAAATATGTTCAAAACGAAAACAAAACAGAGGCCCAACGTGTCAGTGTATGCCTGTAGTTGTTGTGCTCAGGAGGCTGACACAGTAGTTCACACAGTCCATAGCCAGCCTGGGCTTCGGAGTAAAAGCCTGCTTCAACCACGGTAAGTTATTAACTACTGAGTAAAGTCAGTTAAGCTGGGAATGGCGGCACATGACGGTAACTTCAGCACTTGGGAGCTGGAGGCAAGAAGAGCAGGAGCTCAAGATCACCCCTGAAGGTTGGCCACCTCTCTAGCAGTGTCCCTGTGCACGCAGGTTTTCACCTTCACCTGGAAGGAGGACATCCGGCCTGGGGACCCTCAGCACACCAAGAAGTTCTGCTTTGACGCCGTCTCCCACACCAGCCCGGTCACCCTCTATGACTGCCACAGCATGAAGGGCAACCAGCTGTGGAAGTACCGCAAGGTGGGCGGAGGCGTGGGACGGGGGACCTGAGCACCCGCCTGCTAGAGCCTGCCCTCTCGATCATCCTGCTCTGCCACTGAGCCAGCTCTGAGAGAGAGAGAGAGAGAGAGGGAGAGGGAGAGGGAGGGGGCCAAAACCCAGATTCGTGCGTTTAAAAAGAAAGCCAAGCTGGGGGTGTGGTGCTGTAAATCTTAAACCCCAGCCCTCAGGAGGCAGAGGCAGACAGGCCTCAGTGAGATGGGGGCCAGCCTGGTCTACTTAGAAGTAGCATTCACCACAAGGCAACAGGAGACACTGGGCCACATCTAGCCACGAGCAGGGTCGGCAGGACGTGACCACCAATCCGACCAGCTCCTCACTTCCTCACTGCTGTCATGGCTGCTGTGCCCCCCCCCCCAACACACACACCTGACACCCTCCCTGTTTTGCAGGACAAGACCTTGTACCACCCCGTGAGCGGCAGCTGCATGGACTGCAGTGAGAGCGACCACAGGATCTTCATGAACACCTGCAACCCCTCCTCCCTCACCCAGCAGTGGCTCTTTGAACACACCAACTCCACGGTCTTAGAGAATTTCAACAGAAACTGAGTCCTCAGGCCTCCTCATCAAGGCCCCTCAGGTTGCTGCAGAGCTCACAAACCTTCCTCCTGTGAGAAGAAGCATCTGTGGGCCCCAAGGTGCTGGGCCAAAGAGCTTGGGGACAGAGGGTTCTTGAAGCGCTTGGGTTGTGGGGCCAGTGGGAGAACAGGCCATAGAAACGGCTCTACGAGAAGGCAGAGCCTGCTTCCGTTACGGCAGAGCTCACCAGCCTGCCAACACGCCCCCTAAGTGTTAGGAGTACCTGGCCAGCCTTGGGCAAGGAAATTAGTTCTACAAGGTTGCCCAGCCCTCGAGCTGCTCCCAGACACGACAGTGCCCTGGAAAGGTGGTATTGGCCTTGGGGCAGCTTTTAAGCCTATGTGCCAACTGCTGGCAAGGCGGTCTGCCTGCGTTGAGGCTGGGAGGGGGGTACTTCTGGTACTGCCCAGCTTCTGTGTTAGTCCAAGGCCCTGAGAGCCCACTGGGACCTCTGGGCGTTCCATTCCTAGCACTGGCCAGCTGCCAGGCAAGGGGCCCCACGCTGTGCAGCTGGATGTATAAAGGATATCTCCCCTGGCTCTCTGGGTATTTCAGACACCCATGCCAGCGTCAGGGCTCTCTGGGCACCAGGTTTTCAGGGCTCCATCAGCTGAATAAGTAGACCTCCAGACTGAACAGCTGCCAGCCGACGCCTCCAAAGCCCTTTCTCTGTGTCTCTCCTTGGCAGCTCCCTGCCTCAGAGAGGAACGGGGTTCTGTGAGGTGTCTCCTCCTGCAGTCCCCTGGGGCAACCTCCCCCAGACAATGACTGCGGTGGTTCTAACTTCACAGAACCCTAGAGTTTAAGAAAGGTGCCACGGTTCTGTTGCAAGCAGAGGCGAGCCAGGGGATGTGTGAGCATACAGTGCAAGCAGCCAGGTCCTCACCAAGCCCATGTATGACACCCCTCCGCCAGGGGCAGAGGCAGTGGGAGAACAGAGGCTTTGAAACAACCCAGTAGCTGACCATCCCAGCCACAGCCCCGTTAGCAGTGAGGACCTCATGAGCTATTGTCCCCTGACCAGATCACCCTTAGCCCCATGTCGAGTCCCAGGGTAAATGTCACCCTTACCCTGTGACTGTCATTTGACTGTGTCACTTACCAGTGAGGTAACTGAGGGGTGGTCCTGGGGACAGAGCTCTGCCTTAGAGATGCTGGCATTAGGGTCATCGGGACCCCAGGTTGGCCAGGTGGCTGGTGCAGAGCCATCTTCACACATGCTCCTGTGCATTGTCACGGCTCACTTGTGGGTTCCTAGTGTCCTTTCCCGTAGGAACATTCTACCTGACAAGTGGCTAGGAAGGAGTCAGAACGGGGGTGGGTGGATGGGTGTCTAGAGTCCAATGGGGACAAGTGTTGCAAGCCAGGGGGAGTCAGTCCTCAGAGAGCAATTTACAGTTAAAAAAAAATGTGCCTTTTACAAAGAGAAAATGCAACTGAGCAGCCAGTTTTCCCTAAACTTGAACCACTTCCTAGTGCCTTGCTAGACAGACAGGGGCGGGTGGGGGTCCTAGGAGATGAGTGTGTGTCTTTGTGTCTGACTTTCAAGCAGGAGGTGCTAGGCTTGGAGCAGAACCTGAGACACAGAGGCCCCTACAGCAGAGGCAACTGCCTGCGGTGTAGCAGCCCTTTCCTGGGACAGGCTCTTGGAGCCTGCAAGTTCTAGGGACCTGGCAGGGTGGGGGAGTGGGGATGATGACCCCCCCCAAGAAGTGCTCTGCCTGTCCCTCGCTACCAAGGGTAAGATGACCAGTTTGGCATCCAGGTGACGCCAAGCCAAGCAGGTGTTTAATAAGGCAGGTGCAGCCATAAGCCATCTCTAGCCTCGCTCGCTTCGTTCCATCCTCCTCTGGTCCATCCCCTTCTCCTGCGGCCACTTCTTCTAAGCTGACTCAGCCCTGTTTGTGACCACTGAACTCTGACTTGAAGGTGTGTCACAGGAAGGACCAGGTCGGCTCAGCAGCCGGCTGCAAGTGCTTAATCCCCACCTTGTTTTGGCTTCAGGTGTGGAAATCTTGTCTCAGAGGGTCAGATTTCCACCCAGCTGATACGCCTCCCAGGCAGAGGGACCTGTGGACATGCCACATGCTGAGGGTCAGGCCAGGTGTCTGGCCCCTTTCCCTCCAAAGCTTTAATCAGAGGCTAAGATCGCAAAACAAGACTGGGTTAGAAAGGCAGCGTCCCACACGGCCCCCACGCCCGGATGATTCCGGAAGCATTTTGGAACTCAGAGTGTCCTGCCTCTGAGGCTAAAGCCTTTGTGTGGCAAGCTGTGTTGCCCTCCCTCTCCTGCCAGCTGGAGCTTCCAGCTTTAAAAGCATCCGGGAGTGGCAGATCGCAGCGGACTGCATAGTGGATTTCCAAAGCCAGCCAGCTTCGTAGTTCTTCAAGCCTTCCTGTTGCCACGGTTCCCGTGTGTAGCTGAGAAGAGCAGCATTCCTGCTTCAGCAGCCCCTAGTTCTTACAGATTAGGCGGTTTGCATCCAGTGCCCAGGAGGCGGTTCCAGCTTATGGTTTTCAAAAAACTGACAGTGTAAAAGGGACAAAGGGTGCAGTTCCGCCCGTAAATTTGTCGACGCTTGCCACCGATGCTGGGCCAGGGCCCTGCTGCCAACACTGGGCGAGAGAGGTGTCTGTGTCCCAGGTTCTGAGATCTTAACATGTTCTGCTCTGCTCTGCTCTGTGACCGACCAGAAGGCTGGGGTCCCCAGGGGCTGCAGGAGGGGGAGCTGGGCAGTAAGACAGGGATTCCATGGGGGAAAGCCCAAGACCACCTCCCCTGCTTGGAAGAGTGAGCTTTGTGAAGGATGGCTTACCATGTTCAGTTGTGACTGTGATCCTTCAATAAACCTCCAGACTTTCTCTAAAGCCGTGTCTGGTATGTCGCTCCTTGTCTGGCCTTTCTGTCCATGTCCTCAGAGCGCTGAACCAGTGTCCAGACATCCCACAGGGCGCCTAACCAAGTTAAGGCAGAACCAAAGCAAGGATGGTGGTAAGTGCAAAGGGCTGAGAAGGATGGCTAAACCGGGTGTCTTAGAAACTGGGGTAGAACTATCAGGAGATAACCCCTCAGAGCTGAAAGACCAAACCAAGGAGAGGGCAGAGGGCAGCCCCTGCAAAGGTCATGAGTTGGAAAGGGGCTCTGGTGTGGAGAAGCACAGGCATGACATCTAAATAGACCAGAAAGGAGGGTGGTGACGAGAATGAGCTGTGCTCCCCCATTAGCCACAAATGACCTGTTTACCAAAGTGTCTCTGGGCTGTTTAGCATCTACAGGACCATGACTAAAACATCCTCTATGATATCTTGTGCAACTCCTACCCTCACCCAGGCCTCAATTCACAGTAAAACAACCTGTGTTTGAATACACTGTCCTTAGAGGAACCCTGAGCAGATGCTGGCCCTGGTGTTGTCGCCAAGCATCCACCAGAGGGCGCTATGCACCACAGCTTGGAGAAGGCCAGGTACAAGGAATAAAGAACTCGGGCCCAAAAAACAGGTGCAACTACAATGAGGCTAGTCTTAAAGGTACACACTTGGAGTTGGAGAGATGGCTCGATGATTAAGGGCACTTGTGCTTTCAGAGACTCAGGTGTGATTCCCAGCACCCACACAGTGGGTCACAACCATCCTTACCTCCAGTTACAGGGGCTCTGATGCTCTGATGTCTGACTTCCGCTAGAACCAAACATGCAGGGTGCACATGCGTACACGCAAGCAGAAACACTCAGAGAATAAAAGAAATCCTGTTAAAAAAAGTTCACGGAGCTGGAGAGATGGCTCAGTGGGTTAGAGCACCTGCCATACTTGCAGAGAACCCAGGTTCCCAGCGGGGTGGTTCACAACTGTTTATAAGCCTAGTTCCACGGCACCCACGTCCCTCTTCTGGCCTCCACAGGTACCAGACAAGCACATGGTGCACAGACATATATGTAGGCAAGACACTCATACAAATAAATAAACAAACAAATGTTATGAGGTGTTTTTGTTTGTTTGTTTGTTTGTTTGTTTGTTTTTAAGATAGAGAAACTGTGACCCAGTGGTGAATGACAAAGAGAAGTGTCAGGTGCCTATTGTATATAGACACGCCCTAAAAACTGAAAGATTATGTAAGCAAGAACCAAGGTTAATGGCTTACAGTGTTAAATCCGAAATCACTTCGAGGAGACCACTCATGTGTGGAATCAAGAAGAGTGTTTTTATTTCTCCTGCATGCCAGGAGAGGGCACCAGATCTCATCTTAGATGTTTGTGAGCCACCACGTGGTTGCTGAGAATTGAACTCAGGACCTCTAAAAAGAGCACCCAATGCTCTTAACCTCTGAGCCATCTCTCCAGCCCTGGGAGGCTCCTTTTAAAGCCAGCTAGGGCATTTCCAGTCCCAGTTAGGTAATCCTTACCAGGATTGGATGGGTTCCTGGTAAGGGATACTTGAATGTTCCTGATTGGTTCCAACTTAAGGGAAGGAACAGTCCCCTAATATAGCCCCAGAGCAGTTACTGGTTGGTTGCCCATATCCTGTGGTGCGCTTCCTCCCCCCCACCCCTGCCCGAACTCATCAAGCAGGAAAAGGGGAAGAGTGTAATAATCTGGGCCTGGCTTTGGACCCAGTCTCAAATGGAGTTGGTTAGGCCTTCTCAACAGGATCCACACTCCCTTAACCCTTATTTACCCTCACACGGTTCAACTGCCTGGCTTTCCCAACATGTGGGGGAGGTGCTAGGTTTGTTCATTCGCATGCTTGCTGAAGATGAGTATATGGGTACAGGCATGTAGAGTTACAGGTAGCTGTGTGGCCTACCACATGGGTGTTGAGGACCAGATTGGGTCATCTGCAATGACTAATAAGACTAATAACAATCAGTCTTAACCAGTTATCCGGCTCTCCAGCCCCCAAGGTGCTGCTTTTAAAGCCCTTTGTGCCTATGTTGTCCTCCATGGCCTCTCAGAAGTCCATGAAACCAGTGTGACAGAAATAGTAGTGTTTCGTTCAGTTTCAGGTAGCCCAGACTGGTACAGCTTGCCCGTAACTCTAGCATTCAGGGATGCTGAGGCAGGAGAATTGTGAATGCAAGTCCAGCCTGGACTACACTGTGAGACTCTAACTCAAAACCAAAAAATATCAAGTGTCTACTGTATGGTGGACACTGCCCGAACCTGACCTGATACTGAAGTCTAGCAAGAACCTAGTGACACTGAGGGGCTCTGTCACTGAGGTTTCAAAAGTCCTTGCCAGGCCCAGTGACTGTCTCACCTCCTCTCTCCTCTCCTCTCCTCTCCTCCCCTCCCCTTTACCCTTCCCTCCTCTCTCCCCTCCTCCCCTCCCTTCCCCTTTCCTTCATTCTCCCCTCCCTTCCCCTTTCCTCCACTCTCCCCTTCCTTCCCCTTCCCTCTTCTCTCCTACTCCCTTCCTTCCCCTCCCCTCTCTTCCCATCCCCTCCCCTCTCTTCTGTCCTCCCCTCTCCTCTCCTCTTCCCCTCCCCACCCCTTCCCTCTTCTCTCCTCTATTCCCCTTCCCTCCCCTCTTCTCTCTCCTCTCCTTTCCTGTCCTCTCCTGTCTCCTCCCTACCTTCCCTCTCTTCTCTTCTCCCTCTCCTCTCCCCTTCCCTCTCATTCCCCTCCCTTCCCTTTCCCTCTCCTCTCCATTCCCCTCCCCACCCTCCTCTCCTTCTCTCCTCTCTTCTTTCCCTCTCCTCTGTCTGCCTCTGCCTCTTGGTCTCTTGTTTTTCTCATTCTCTCTTTCTCCTTGTGGATAAAAATCATAGCTCTCAGTTACTTCCCCAGCACCACACCTGCCTGCTGCCATGCTCTCTGCCATGTAAGCAAGCCCGCATTTAAATGCTTTCTTTTGTCAGAGCTGTTGTGGTGTCTCTTCACAGCAACAGAACAGTGACTAAGGTACCTACAAACTGGTACACTGAGGTGAGTTCAGTGAAGGGCCTGCTTAAAAACAGCGGTTGAGGCCAGGCATAGTGGCACAGGCCTTTAGTCCCAGCACTCAGAGAAGCAGAGGCAGGCAGATAGATGTGAGTTTAAGACCAGCCTGTCTACAAAGTGGGAGTCCAGGACAGCCAAGGCTACACAGAGAAACCCTGTCTCAGGGGAGGAAAAAAAGCAAAAAAGAAAACAGTGTTTGATAGGGCTGGAGAGATGCAGAGGACCTAAATTCAGTTCCCAGCACCCACATGGTGGCTCACAACCATCTGCAACTCCAGGTCCAGGGCACTTGGTGCCCTCTTCTGGCCTCTGTAAGCGCTAGGTGCACATGCATACATGAAGGAAAAATACTCATGGTGCCGACTGGAGGCGGGGCTAGCAACAGCAATTGCCAACAGGAAGGGACTGGGGAACACCGTCCCATTCAAATCCACATGAAGAAATAAAGGGGCTTGTGAGATGGTTCAGTAGGGCAAGGTGCTTGATGTACAGGCCTGGCAACCCCAGTCCAGGCCTCAGACCCCATATGAAGGAGGAGGGAGAGAACTAACTCCACAAGCTTGCCCTCTGAATGGGCTCCGGCACACACACAATGTGATAATAAGTAACCTTTTGTTGTTGTTGTTACTGTTTTGAGGCGGGCTCTCACTATGTAGCCTTGACTGGCCTCTACCTACCTATGTAGACCAGGTTGGCCTGGAACTCAGGGAGACCCACTTGCCTCTGCCTCTAGGGTGCCTCCAGGCATGCATAAATAATTTTGTTTAAATTACTAGTCAAGGTAACTATGTAAGCCTGGGGTTGTGACTGGGGCCCAGCACTAAATCATCAGGATACACTAGGCCTTGGGTTCAATTCCTAGAACTGAAAAGAAAAAGATAAGTAGGTAAGTAAATCCAGAAGCAGCACAGATGTTTTTATCATCACTCTTTCTGCTATCTGGTTTAAATAATGTCTACACACATTAATGATTAAACCACATGATAACAGCAAGACAGGGGAGGATGGAAGGAGCAGAGAGAGCTGGATGGTGGCAAAGTTGCTGCTGACCTTGAGCTGTGACTCCCAACGAGAATGCTTTCCATTAAGAGCTCAATTGCAATCCAGCTGTGGCCACACACCTCCGTAATCCCAGCCCTCAGGAGACTCGGGCTACACGTGCAGGCTCAATCTCAATAAAACAGGAAAGGTGCTCACTGGGATGCACAGATCAAGGCCTGTGCATCACTCAACCCCTCCAAGGCTGACTGATTCTCTTTCCTGGACCACAATTCGCAGAGGACTGAATTACAAAGGAAAGGTTATTTGTTCTGTCCATGGGTGTTAGAATTTTGCAGTGACTGGAGTGATGACGTGATATCTCCCGGTCTTGCTGTGTCACTCCTTACAAGTTTGCTGGGTAAGCAGGAACTGAAGAAGCCAGGAGGAGCTGAAGGCCGCAGGATGGAGGCCACCACGTGGGCCCCACTGGCATAACTAGTTGACATAGGCTAATCCAAAAATTCATTCTAATTGCTTTATTTTTTTTAAGTTTTATATATGATTCTGTATTGCCATCATTTTCCCCTCCAAATGTGTTGGTTTCCATTTTTAATCAATTTGTAGGTTAATCTACAAAACCATGTGTCTTCGAACATGTGTCAGGATACTTTTTTCTCCCCTCCCCCACTGTCCTCCCGTCACAGCCCTCCCCACTCACAGGATCCCTTTCTTCTAGGAAGTCCCACTTCTGCTCTTCAAGTTCACTGTGCTATTCCTCACCTTCACTGAGGGTTCTCCCTCCCCTTCATGATCCTCTTTCTCTTTGGGGGCCTGGACACACGTATGTGCATATTTTTAAATCAAAGTCCTGCCAAAGATGACCTGGAACTCCTGATCTTCCTGCCTCCACCTCCCAAATGCTGAAATTATGGGCATGTACCACCATCAAGT